GATTTAGGCAAGTGAAAGTCTAGACACCGCTGTTGTAATAAACGTTTTACAATTCATTACAACTTTTGTAGCTCCATTGTTCTAAAAGCTCGATTCAAAGTTTTCGATTTTAACAGACCGGTTACAATAAACCGTTGTACAAGCAAAATCTAGTAAAAACAAATACATATCTGAATTTTACATACCTTGAAGATCACCCTTCAACAAACCGCATAACATTTGGACACACCAAACACAAGTTATTCACTTTTAAACAATAAAAATTTCGGCAGCGATCGCGTGTAAAGTACCTTCAACTGAAAGCGTCAAGTTTAAACTGATGTACAAGACAAAATATACGTTTTTTATATAATTTTTTTTCAATACAGGATGGAGACAGGTATTAACTACCCATCTAACTAAAAATTTACCTGAAAAAAATGTAAATTTTTGAGGTTTTGCCGATATTTTCAAGAATTGAAACACTGCGCTGTAATAAAAAAATATTTTTTTTTCGATTTTTCCTCTGTATACCATTCTGCAATAATTTTTTAATAAAAAATTAAAGTGATATATCACTTTTTCATTGGAATAATTATCTTATTAAATAAAATATTTTTTTTTTGATAAAGTATGATTTTTTATTAATATTTAAGTTTCCAGCACACCTATGTACCTATAATGAAAAACTAAAATAGTTGAATTAATAAATAAAATATTAGAAAGCATTGAATTTTCTTGCAAGCAAGGATTAAGTTTTCCATTATAAAGGGAGATTCTTTTATCAAACCTTCCTGTTTACTCTACATGACTACTAAGAGCACACATTAGGATCAAATTTCATTTGTTTAATATCATCTACAAACTTTGTATTAATTTCTATTTAAAGATTATTTGGAGTTCTTTCTCTCTTGCCGTTTTTCTATAAATTATAAAGATAAGTTTTCGCGGCTCGTGGGTACATGAGGTTAATTTTGTCTAAATACGAATAAATTTACACTTCCTCCAGGAAGTATTATTCTGCGATGCATTGACATTTTTTAAAACTAAATAATAAAAAAAACTAAAAAAAATAAAACAAAGTAAATCTCAAAGTAATCTTAACCAAAAAATGCGAAACTCAAAAACATAAATTCGTTTCTTAAAAATATATATCCGGAACTTAAAAATATATTTATATTGATGGATAAAATTATAATGTTTTTTCGGGTAAATTCTTTAATTTTATAATACAAATGTGTTAGTTGCTTGTGGTGAATTTATAACATGTCAAATTTGTAAAATGATCAAATAAAAATTGTGTTTAACACAATAATATAGGAAAAATCAAAATTTATGCAGTTTAGGTGAAATTTTTAACATTTTTTAAATTATGTAAAGTTTTGGAAAATTTTGAAAAATTAAAGATTTTAAAAATGTTGGAATTTTGTGCTACCATTTTTATTTATATTAAGAGATCGCAAAAAAATCTCGACAAGTTTTTGACAGATGCGGCAAATTTTTAATATGAAACTAATCACGGTGGCCATGCAACTTTTCACTAAATTTGGTGAAAAAATGTGGACTCGTTCACTTTGTAAGTGACAACAAAAAAAAAATCAAAAAATTCATTTTCAGTCGATCGAAATTTTTTTCTCGAATATAAACATGAATATAATTTTTTAGATTTGTAGTTTTTGTTATAATTTATTTTTTCTGCTCCATCTTTAAAACGTACATGTTTCCATGACACTAAATGACTTTTTAAATACACAGTTGTGGCTTTATGGCATTTTAGTTACGGGCTGAGGTTAGCAACAAGATTTTAGTCACAGGCTGAAGTTATTTTTAAGTGAGAGTTAATCTAACTTAAAAATATTTGTTAAATATTTGAGTACAGAAAATTTTTAATCAAATTAAAATAATTGAGTATTTTTTTTATTCAATTTAACTTATATATAAATTAAATTCGTGTCTAAAATAACGTTTATCAAACTTGATACATAATATACTATTTAACCGTTCACATTATGAAACATGTAATAGCATCAAATATAACATATTTTCTAAAAAATCGAGATACGATGTTCTCCTTTTCATTTTTAACGTATACAGAAATAACAAATGGTACACAGGGCTTACTCGGTGAAAAATAAATGAGTAAGAGTCACCTTTTCAACTTTTTATGAGTATGGCCCAAGCAATAGGACTTTTAACCGCCTTCCAACTTATTAAACTTTAACGGAAGTTTCGTAGGTCATAAGGAAATCGATATCAGTATGGTTCAATGTCGAACAACAATGTAATGTACTGTAAATTTGTAGGTGTACACAAAAAGAGTTTATTACTCCCTATACGGAATATTACGCGCTCCGCACGGGTCACTACATCTAAATGACATTTACAATTGTGCGTCAGACAAAAGGCTCTTCCTACATTGTCCTTCCGGTTCACATTTTTTAATTACTTTTAATTACACAATTAAAATATTTATGGATTTAATATTTTTATTATTGGAATCGACGATTTTTGAATATAGAGTCAATCCAAATGAAAACACCAAAAATGAATTTTAAAGTGCGCTGCATGATTTTTTATTTTAATGAAAAAATTTGAGGATGATCTTTTAGGTATCATATATGAAAAACCGTTGCCGTTTTAATTTTTAGTTGCTTTATTTTTAATCGGCACCCTTTAGAAACCTGAAATCGTGTCATTTTCTTACTCTCTTATAAGAGGCTAAAACTTTTTCTCGGTGGCAATTATTGAAATGATTGTAATTTTATTTTACTGCCTAGTAAGTATGTTTTCAATATTAATTATTATTATCTAATTAGTTCATCTCATAAAAGAATGGTAAACCACTAAAGATTTGTAGTAATTTGCCAATTTTTGTGATTTTTATCTGGCTAAAATAAAAATCTGAAACTTTCAGGAAATGTAGTCCCCACCTTTATTTTTTCAGTCTAGTTAGTCTTGTTTTGTTATTTTTATCCATGTAAAAGATATAATAATTTTTTTAATGCAGTTAAGAAGCGATATTTTTAGTTTTATTTATAATTTAAAGTTTAGATGGCTTTGACTTAGTCAATTCATGTTTGGTAGAGAAATGTCAGAACTGTCAAAAATATTTCATAAATATTATTTGTGCGTATTTAAATTGTGATTTCAAAAAGTTTGCAAGTTTGCAAGTGCAATAAATGACGGAGTGTTCAAGATTCATGAATTTAATTGCAATTAAAAATTCAAGAACATAACATAATTTTGTACCTCTTTCTCATAGAAAATATTTAAGTTCTGAGAAGTTTTAAATTGTTAAAAATAAGCAAAAACCAAAAAATATTTTAAATAAACCTATTTATCATAACATGTTTTATTTTAACCAGTTACCTAAAAACTAAAATTTAAAGAAGTATTTAAATATTGTGTTTTTTTTTTCTAACACTAATATTTAAAATAAACACATATAACTTTTAACTATTCAATGCCTTAGTAAAGGGATCAAAATAATAGAACAAGACTAACTTGGTTTAAATTTTGAAAGAAACCGACAAAAAACTGCTTAACGCATTTTTTATACGTTTAAATTAACTCTTTATTAATTTCACTTATTATACTTTACGATATATCTTTATTAATTTCACTTATTATACTTTACGATATATCTGAAAGTTTCAGATTTTTATTTTTTTCTCAACATAATGATTTCTGAGGGCAAAATTGACTAATTTTAAGAATTATCAAGTTTCACTAATTCTTTTAATAAAAAAATGATAGTCTAGAAACTTAAAATAATAGTAACGTTTTCTATTGTATAAGTACTTGATGCATGAAAAAAAAAATAACTTTCTAGATTTAGTAGAATAGGCACAGGAGCCAGACAAAAATCACAAAAATTGGCAAATTATCATGAATCTTTAGTGGTTTACCATTCTTTTTTGAGATTAACTAATTGGATAATAATAATTTATATAGAAAACACAAACAAAATTAAAATCATTTCAATATTTGTCACAGAAAAAAAGTTCTGGCCCACTATAAGAGAGTAAGAAATTGACACGATTTCAGATCTCTAAAGGATGCCGATTAAAAGTAAAGAATCCAAAAATTAAAACGGCAACGGATTTTCTTATTTGATACCTAAAAGATCATCCTCAATTTTTTTTATCCAAATAAAAAATCAAGCAGCGCACCCCATTTGGTGTTTTTATTTAAAATGACTCTATAATTTTATTAGGGTTTATCCATGGATTGTGCACAAAAATTATGAAGTAACAAAAATAGCAAAACCGACAAAAATATATCTAATTCGTTAAAACAGATAAGTTTTTAATATTCATAGGAGGTTTATTATACTCTTTTGCTATTTTTTTTAACACATTAACCATAGGCACTGTTTTGGAAGTGGTTACCTACTAAAAAGTTGCGGAAGTGATTTAGCGGTCTTACTTAAAAAAATAAACTAAAAAAACAAAACAAAGAAAATATCAAAGCAATCTTAACGCAAATTACGAAACCCAAAAATATAAATTCGTTTTTAAAACTTTAAAATATATTGGAAACTTAAAAGTTTATAAATGGGTGGTTTTCAAAAAACACCCGCCTTCCGCTGTCCGTAAGTTTGAATTCCAATAACTTTGTTAAAAATTATCGGATCTTATTGATTTAACAACCAAGTGAAAGCCTAACAAGCCCTTAGTAAACTCTTTCAGAATATGTTGGTTTAGTTATTTAAGAATAATTTTTTTTAATTTTGAAACTTGTGAAACACACATTTTCGCATGTCCCATTAGCGTATTATAAAACTTACATACATGTTTTTTTTAAATATTGAATAACCAGAACTTTGTGTTGCTTTATAGCAATCCATAACATCCTTAGTTAATACAGTAAACAATTTATATATAAAATAATTAATTTTAAACTACTTTTTTAAATTTGACTCATGTCCTAGACATTTTTTTCCGTTGCGTTACGTCCGTCGCGTTACCGATAGAATATTAAAAAAACAACTTTTTTGGCACTCACGTGATCAACAAATGATGTTCGGACGTACACATTACCCAGCTGAATTTATTTATTCACTCAGGAAGAAGATATCGGTTGAAACAGGTTCGGGTAACGCGAATGTAATAATTGTTTGTCCGCTAAGTTACTCAAAAAAATAATAAAAATAAAGTAAGAAAAATACTATTTTTCAAGTTTTAAGTTTATTTTAGCGTACTAAAGCTCATTGAGAGTAGTTAATGACTGTAATGTCTTATTATTATTTTTTAAATATGGTTTCACAAAACTTTGTCCACTGCGTTACCGAGTCCATTATGTTACCTTATGGTAACGCAATGGAATTTAGGGTAACGCAATAGAATTTTTCGACAACAAAGTGGATATTTACCGTCGCTTTTATTAAAAGTAGTTTATGATAAACCAATTTAAAACTATTTGTGATTACAACTCATGATATAGATTACATCCAAGAGAAAATTCCATGCAATATACAAGTACTAAAGGACCTTCATCAGCTTATAGTCAAAGAAAAAGGGTGTCTACAATTTAGAAATTTAAGTTGTTATTCTGCAAGTGAGCACCACTACAAGGGATTTTGTTTATACATTACCCCAGTCCGGTATCAACCAATGTCTATTTCGTTACTTTTTTTTGTTAAAAAAATAATTAAAATGATTTTTATACACTATCACTTGGTAATACGTGTTTATAAATTGGAGTTTAACTCACTAATTCAGTGACTAAAAGAAAATATTAATGGTATTGTTTTTTTAACAAAGAATCGGAATGATTTCTTTTAAAAAGTAACTTAACGAACATACATATTTAAAAAAAGCATACAATTTTTAATAAAAAATAAAATAAAAAATTGGAGTCAAAAGTTTGTGAACTAAGTACATTTTATTTCAAATTATTTTTATAACAACTTTTTTTATTGAATTAAATTTTGGATTTCAAATTGGTAACACAGTGGATTTTTCTGAAAAAAAAACGTAAATAAATTGCCTGCCTGTCTTAAATGCAAGTAAACAAAACTCTAAACATTTATAAAAATCCAACCAAAAGTCAATCTAAGCAAAAAAAAAATTTGATCTTTATTTTCCTGAAAGCGGGTGTTTCTTGAAAATGACCCAAATACTTACCCTGTTTGTGAATTCGAAGTGGGCTATTTTAAAAAATGTTACCCATCGATCAACCTGTATGACTATGCAAAAATTCAAAATCTTAAAGATTTGTGTTCTTTACGGGATTGTTTAGGGGCCAAAAAGACAAACAAATTCATTGCATTTGTTTTATGAGTTATCCAGGATTTATTACAAGCCAACTTAATTTTATTTTGACTTCATTTCAAGCAATTTTAATCTTGCAGTCTCGAACGATTTATGAATATTTCTTATATTGGTAAAAACAAATTTCAGCTTAAACTAAACAAATTTAAATTTTCACAGTTTAAAATACGCATGTTTCGTTTTTTAAATAAAAGTAGATATTTTTTAAGCGTATCTACTCCCCCATTGATAAGCTGTAACTTTATGGCGTTTTATTTACGGGGTGAAATTAGCTTTATTACAAATTGGTTTTAAATTCTTTTTTGTGTTCATCGTATATAAAGTAGGTATAGTATTCAACTCGTTTTATAAACTTCTCTAGACACTGGTATTTATTAAACACTCGCTCGCAAGCTTTGCTCGTGTCTAATAATACTAAATTTTAAATGGCACCCTATGCGACACATCATTTTAAAGTAAATGTAATTTTGGATCCACTGAAGTTAAAAAAATTAAAATCCTATTACGTATTTGCAAGCCAAAAAAAGGTTAAATATAAATAAAACAAAGATTTATATAAAAAAAATATTTTAAACGCCCTTTATTGTACATGTTTCCATGACACTAAGTGACCTTTTAAATACACATTGACAAGTTGTGGCTTTATGGCGCTTTAGTCACGGGCTGAAGTAAGTTGACAGTTGTCAAATGTCATACTGTATGACTCATACAATCATAAATAAAGTGCCTTTCTTGTAAAATAATACTAAATGTGAAAATTATTTTATTATCTCAATACAAAAATACTAAAGTATTAAGTAGTTTCTCAACGCCAATATATGATTATATGAACATTGTACTGACCTTTTAATTTCGCCGGCAGTAAACTATAACTTAAATTCGGACACGGACTTCACTGTAAAGTGCTCATTTTCTTTACTTTCACTGTGATAGACTGTCAATTTTTAAGAAATACATTTCGATTTATAACCTTATAACCTTATAAAAAAATTTGACATTTGACGGTGACACACAGATTCCCCTATTGTTTCATAGATGGCGCTCTATACAAATTTTTGATTTAAATCATTTTAAGACAATAATAAGTATTTGTCGTAGAAAAAGTATAGTATGCACCTAGTTTATAAACTTTTCTATACACTCATTAATTTAAGAACTCGTTCACAAGCTCGCTCGTGCCTAAATTAAATTTGTGTATAAAATGGCGTTTATCAAACTTGATACATAATATACTATTAAAGGTTTAAAATGTGCTCCGTTATTTGCTGAACAATAACACAATCTGTTCTCAAACTCTTGTCGAATTTTTTAAAACCTATTAGGAGTTATTTGCCTGCATTCTTGAATTATTCTTTGTCTAAGTTCTTCAATGTTTAAAAGTGGTGTTTTGTAAATTTGAGTTTTTAAATGTCCCTAAAGAAAAAACTCAAGTGGCATTACATCTGGAGATCTTGCCGGCCATTCTTGAGCACCTCTTCTACCAGTCAATTTTTCAGGAAACTTTTGGTTCAACCATTCTCTGACTAGTTACTCCATCTTGTTGAAAGTACAAATGTCCCTTATCAAGCAACATGTTTTCTTGTTCGTCCATCTGATTTTCTAATGGCTGGACAATTATATAATAATGTTCTTGAAAATGTTTACCCTTAAGTGGGTTTACAACATTTTCAAGAACATCAATATATAATTGTCCAGTCAAGTTATCTTCGATAGAAGAAACTTGGTTTTTCTGTCGTAGTCATCTTCGCTGATTTGCTGGCACATTTGAATTTTATAAAGGAAAAACTTTTAGCACCTAATGAACGGAACCAACAGACATATTTTTTAAAGCAGTTACTTTTGGAATGGATGTGGATCCCACAGCAAAATTACCGAGAACTTCAATTTGTGCAGCTTCATCCAGTACACTCGATCTTGTGTGATTTATTGCACACTAAACCAGTTTTCCTAAATTTTTTCACCAGGTTGCTGACGTATTGATGGCCTACATTTTTGCCTGGATTTTCATTATTTAAATCCCTCTTAAACAGAAGTATTCTTTCTTCACTGAAAATTCTGCGGTTTTTATGTAATTAATGTTATATATTAATTACATCTGGCAACGCGCAGCTACTTTGTTGGTTGGTATCTATGTACTCACAGAACACAAGTGTGCAGAGATAAACCAAGTGTGTAACCAGTGGCGTATCACAAAAAATATAAAAAACTTCTAATGCCTATTTTTTCTTTATCTTTGGAAAAATATTTTTTTAAATATTTTTCCTTTACTCCTTATGTCAAAAGGTATTCAGTATTTTAATATATAACATTAATTACATAACACCCTGTATATTATTCAAGATATGACATAAGAATTGCAAAGAACACATGCGCAGTATAAAATAGGATGTATGACAATTTACATTAAATTACATTACTGTTTTAACTTAATTTTCAGTTCGAAATTCATAATGAACAGCGAAGCTGAAATAACCGCCGAAGAGACCTCCAAGCCTTCCGGAAGTAGCATAGTTTTCGAAGCTTCGACTCAAACGCCCACAAACGAAGTATGCGACTCACCGCTCTTCACACAAAAAGGATACTGCCTAAATACCAAGGACCACAGCACTCTGGCTCTAAATAATATACAAAAAATGAGAGAGCACGGTCAAGTAAGTTTTTACCTTAGTTTGTGTAGTGTCTTATATTAAAGTAGATGAAGTTAGTGATTTATTATTATTATTATAACATGCATGGTGTAGAAAATATAAATTAAGTTTAAAAACCATCTATTATTTTAATTTTAAAAGGTTATTTATCGATTTTCAAAATTTACTCAGTTGAAATAAGACAACCTTTAGAAGCATACATTATTTTATCTCCACGCGGTCTATAATTTAAACTTTATTGTTGTCAACGTTCAATAAAGAAATACCTTGTTATGGCCTAGGCCGATAAAAAATTTTATGAGGCAAGCAATTAGTTCGATTTTTTTTCGCTAGGGGTATTGTTTTGACAAATTAATCCTTTTCTAAGAAATTAACGTACTAAACTGCACAGAAAAAAATCTAACATAGTACCAAGAACAGCGCTGTCTTTAAATGCATTAAAATTGAAGCAATCTAAATTGTTATTTGCTCAATTAATTACTATTAAACCAAAATAGGGAAATATTTTGCCTAAATGTCAAAGAATTTATTGCGTTAAATGTATACATATATGTATACTATAGTATAGTATACATATAATAGTAACGTTATTAAATAAATCAAATTAGTATTTAATGCAATAACATTCTACCATTCTAACAAATAAATATTAATATGAATATCAATAGATTTAGGAGCGATAACTTTTGTTGTTAATTTAAAAACAGTAAACGGTTAAAAACCAAGTGCTATTGGTATTATAGGAACTGTTATTCAGGAATACGGATTACAAGATCCCATTGGTTTAATGGCTTACCCATTCATGCTATGCTAGCGTTTTTTATGTGTGGTTTAATTTATTTATAATAAGCACTAATTTGTTTGTTTTACTGTTAATGTTTAATATTTTTCATTAAATTATTGTAAAATTAAATATGAATAATAAAACAAAAAGTGAGGTTAGGCAACCAAGAAAACGAACGATTCTTTTTCTACGATTTAAATTATCTTTAAGTTTTAATTTGCTTTAAGTTTTCAGTGAAATTAAATGTTAAACACAGCTTAAACATCCCAAACTAGATATTTTTTAAATAAAAATCCAAACAAATTGAAATACATACCTATTTATTAAACAATTAATTGAATTCAATGTAATAGCAAAAATCCATTTCTACTTTAATAATGTAGCTAGGTATTGTCAAACTATTACTGCTTCTAAAAGCAATAATATTTATTGAATGTTTAATGTAATCTTTAGCTAATAAATAAATGAGATTCTAAAAAAGTGAGGTTAGGCCGCTTTGATGTTGAATTAAATTGACCTATATAAAGTGCTTTGAAAATAAAATGTTGTATGCCATTCGGCCAAGAAGTGCCTTTTTGTGCTTCGCTCAATCAAAAACCTTGAGCTTAGCACAAAAAGCCTTAGTTCTTAACCTAATGACATAAATAACTATTACGTCATGATACGACTTGATAAAGGCAAATAGTTAATAGTTTCTAGAAACCATGGAATAAATCTGTGAAGAAAAATTAAACAAAAATAAACATTACATTAACACACACAGGCTAAATTTAAAATTTCCAATAATGCAGTTTTTCAACAATTCCTTGGGGTCTGTGTATCATACACCTGTATCAGACACCCTGTATTTGTAAATAGTAAACAATACAAAATAAAAATAATTGTGCGTTGATTCACTTTATTACGGCTTGCTAACTACAAAAACCCTGACCTTTCCTCTATAAATTTAAAATATGAGGGAGTAATAAAAGCATTCACCTCAAACTAATTTTAGCTTAGGTCATATTATACAAATTAGGTACTTTATTTATTAGGTCGCAAACCCGAATGATATGATGTCACTTTGAAAGAGAAACATTACTACATTTAATATGTACAGTTTTACATTAAACGTACGTTTTATCTAGGATCCTAGATCTATTTATTGGACCAAAATAGTCTTGTTTTAAAAGGGGATAATGGTGAACCATTAATAATAAGTAATAAGTATGAGAGAAAGGGTAGATATAGCAAGAGACAAATCCTTTTTCAATTTATATTGCCATCTTTTAATGTTCAACCAATTTAATTTGTTATATTGTAAAGTTCTTAAAATTAAAATTATAATTTTAAAAGAATATTAGTATTAAGTTCAAACACCATTTTAGTCCCAAATTTAATTTATTCACGAGCGAGCTTGCGAGCGAGTGCTTAATTAAATGAGTTCCTAAAAAAGTTTATAAACAAATGGTTTTTTTACGGCAAATAATTAATATTATCTAAAAAATTTTTTTTATTAAATATTTGTATAAAGCGACATCTATACGAAAATAAAATACGTAATTTTCACCATTAACATTGTCCGTTATTATTTTAATTAAACTTAACCATTATTAATCCATTAAAATATTAAAATTACTTATGTTAAGAAAATATTATCAAAAATTATTAAAAATTCTTACACGGGAAAGTACAAAAAGTGATAGTTGTATTTACTGGAATTCCCATTAAAATTTTTAACTTGGGTATCTACCGGCGCACAGTGTTTCAATTCTCGAAATTTTCGGCAAAATATCAAGCAGTAGTCGGATTCTCCTAAAAATCCGTATATATAGAGGTTTTTGGGGTCGCTGATAAAGAATCTGGAAATTTCCAAAATTCAAAATGGTAGAAGAAAAATGGCGGAAATATTTGTCAAAAAATTGACGGAATCAATAGAAAATCACCATACAGGGGTTTTGGAATCAGAATTCCAAAATTCAAAATGGTGGACCTCAAATGGCGGACATTTTTATCAAAACGTAAGAGGTTCTTTTAAAATCTAAATAAAACATTTTTATAAAATAACTTAATTTCGTTTATTATAATTACATTTTTATGATATTATTTAATACCTACATATACATATATTAACAGATTTTATTTTATTTTATAAGTATTTTAAATTTTTATTATTTCTTTTACATAATATTTTAGCAACGATTTCTTAATTCGAAAAAGAAATTGTCAACACAAATAACCACAATTCAAATTTGACATTAACACACTACAATGCGCATGCGGAGTTGTTTTAACGCACCTACAAGAGGTGGGTTAAATATGTAAAATCATTGTTTAATATCTTAGTAGACACAAACGATTTACGAAAGTGAAAGGCTAGACAACGCTGTTGTAATAAACGTTTTGAGTTAAATCCGAGTGAATCGAGTAAACTTCATAAACGCAACCCAAAAATTAAAAAAAATCTTATATTTTGTAAAGCAAAAACACAGATACGCGCGCGACATAGGCTTAAAATCTCAAGGTTTTTTACCACAACCGTGCCCGGCAATTTGGGACAGATAATTTATTGATGGCGTGATAGACAAAACTCTAAGCTATTCAACGGATCTTAAACTGATGCCTTACAATTCATTACAATTTTTGTAGCTCCATTGTTCTAAAAGCTCGATTCAAAGTTTGCGATTTTAACAGATCGATCTTGTCGGTTACGATAACCCGTTGTACAAGCAAAATCTACAAAAACAAATACATATTTAAATTTTACATACCTTAAAGATCACCCTTCATCAAACCGCATAACAATCGGACACACCAAACACAAGTTATTCACTTTTAAACAATAAACAATTTTCCGCAGCGATCGCGTGTAAAGTACCTTCAACTGAAAGCGTCAAGTTTAAACTGATGTACAAGACAAAATATACGTATTTTATATAATTTTTTTTCAATACAGGATGGAGACAGGTATTAACTACCCATCTAACTCAAAATTTACCAGAAACAAAATGTCAATTTTTGAGGTTTAGCCGATATTTTCGAGAATTGAAACACTGTGCGGCGTTGAAATCTTAAAATTTTCTGTCTAAATCAATATTTATCCCTTGAAAATAGACTAACAATCAATGTAGAAGCAGTTTTTCATAGTAAAAGAGAAGAGAATGTTTTTTGGGCAGATCATATTTACTATTAGAAGTTATTAAAGGTGGCTAGTTCTTAATTAAAAGCCCAGTATATAGGTTACAATGTGACAACAAGTTGAACTAAAGTAAATTAAATATCCACACTGAAAGAAATATATACTAAAGTTAAATAAAAAAATAATTAGGGCAAATATATTTTATGTTTCATATATAGACTACCACATACATTGCTAAAACAAATATATTCGTTTGGTTAGCAGCCTATTGCTGCCCTAGCAATATAAATGGTGTTTCTAGCAATATTTTTTTGCTGTAATTCACTTATAGTTTACATTTTATAGTAAGGGTAAGTTTATTTTTATTTAGATCTAACATATCTTCTTTACAATAAATGTATTACAAAATTTACCATACATTCATAATAAACAGTAGTATAAATGTGTAAAGCACTAGTATAAAATTTTTAGTATAAATTTGTATTTACTTTTAGCAACAAATTTCTTTCAGTGCAGGGATATTAAATTTATGGTATAAAATTGACCCAGTTTCCGAGCAATAAAACTGAATTGCCTCTTTTACGTGATAGAGATAAATAATGACAGTAATAAATTAAGGCTGCATTTACACAATAAGTTCCAAATTTGTACATTTTTAGGTTAATAAATAAATTGAACTTCTCATAAAAGATTTATTATTTTTTTCATTATTATCATTAAAACAATATTTTACAACTTATAATTAATAATTTTTAAAATAACAAATATTTTGTAGATTACTATAATCAGGGGCTAGTATTTGAAATATATTTATATATATTCTGATTTTACCTTTTAATAAAGGTCCCACCACGTGACTTTGATAGAAATAATTGAGGTTAATTTTTTCTCAGTGTCAAGCTAATTTCGTCCCCTTTTAAATAAAACGATATATGTATTTTGTGTTCTAAATTAAGTCCTTTGGACACAAAAAATACAATTATTGCCTTATTTTCAGAAAATAGGACGAAATTAGCTTCACAGTGACAAAAATAAACCTCAATTATTTCTATTATTTCACGTGTTGGGACTTTGATGTGTGGGGCATAGTGGGACATAGATAAACAACAAAGTAGCTGCTCGTATAGATTAATTACCTCGTAACCAGTTTTAAAAAATTTCTACTAAAAATTGTAAAAAAAAAATTTGTTTTGACAGGTTTTTTGTTTTATTTAAATTATTTTAAAACCGCTGTATAATCCAGCTTGCAGTTTCTTAATTATTTAAACAAATAATAAATATAAACTATAAATTGTTTATTTTTTTAATCTCACAGATAATTTCTTTAGAGATTATCCATGAACGTTATGAAAGAAGTTTAATTTTAAAATTTTGCTCAACTAACTTACTACGAATTTAATAATGTTAATTACCTAATATTAATTAACTTCAATATTAAACAAAAATATGTACATTTAAAAAGGTTTATAAATAAACTTCTGATAACAAGTATAGGTACTTTAGTATTATTTTTACATTTCCGATATTTATGGAACATTCATTTTAAAGTTACATAAAAATTTAAATTTGATTTTTTTTATCTAAATGTTAAATTATTTTTAGTTATTCAACTTAAGACACGTTTTAATTTTTATTACATCAGATTTTTCCATTAAAAATGTAATAAAATTGTGGGAAAAATTGCCATTGAAAAAATATTTGTTTGAAGCCCATTATCGTGCATGTTTCCATGAAACTAAGTGATTTTTTAACTACACATTGACAAGCTCTGGCTTTATGGGGCTTTAGTCAAGGGCTGAAGGTAGCAACAGTTTTTTAGTCACGAGGTAAAGCTACAATCGTTAAAATAAAGTGCCCTTCTTGTAAAATTATACAAAATGTAAAAATTATTTTATTATCTTACTACAAAAAT